GTGTTCGGAAATGATCTCACGGCGCATCTGCCATGCTACTCCACTCTTTCAGTGGTACACCAGGTCCACCCATAGCCCATCACGTGCCGTTTTAACTGCCACCCATCCATGCTACCTTGCCAGCTTAAAATGACAGGCCACACGCAAACAAACCAAACAGGCAAACCACTGCTGCCACTTTACTTCTCTGAAGCTACCTCATACGTCCGTTGCTAACCACAACCAGTTTTCCAAGTCCCACATAGGATGGAGGGCATAAGGGAGGCGGGAGGACAGATGACACACAACGACACCAAGCAGGCAATGAAAAGGCATGACATGACAAGGCATGGGATGACAAGCAACAGCAAAGGACAAAGGCTGGAGGGCACAGGGGAGGTGGAAGGGCAGTCGACACACAAGCACATCAAGCAGGCGGGAGGGCAGACAACATGCAAGCACACCAAACAGGCGAAAAGGAAAAAATATGTGTCCCAAAAAAATCAGAAGACCAAAAAAAATAAAAACTGATGATAACAAGATTGTTTCGTCAGAGTTGCACCTGCTCCTCAGGAGGCTGAACCCTCAACTATCTGCGGAATCCCCGTATTTGATGGTTTGGGTCATGAACCCTTTGACCCTTGTTGAAGGCAGACTGTCCCCAAGCGGAACATAGCAGCAGGCAGCAACCCTGTGGAGCACCAGGCAACACAGTAGAGGCAACACGGCTGCACAACGCCAAAAACGACTGCAAGGAACGACATGGCACGCAGGGCAAGCAGAAATCGTGTAGTGAAGCGGAAGGCACGACCAGCGTATGAGCAGCACGGCAGCAGAGCAGCGAAGCACAAAGCAATACCAACAACACACCCACACCGCACAGGGAACACATCAACCTGCAAAGAACCACATGCGAAGCAAGCGGGACAAGCAGCAGGGCAACGGCGGAGCGCAGACATAGACGTTTACATGTCCAACACGGAGCAAAGCAGCACATGACCTACTCACATCACGAGTTAACCCCGCAGACTGTTGGTTCCAACCACCCACTGAGCCAGGGAGACACTCCGACGACCATCCGTCATCAACGACAGGCAACACAGACATCTCGAACCAAGCGGCCCCCCTAAGAGTGCAGTAGGCACTCCAAACGAGGACCCACGGACTGTTTGGCACTGCCAGAGGGTGCTCGGCTAGAGACACAAAAAGCATGTAGAAAAAATAGGAGAAAGAGGAAAAACTTCAAAAACAAACATACCTAAAACTGATTGTGTGTGTGTGTGTGTGTGTGTGTGTGTGTGTGTGTGTGTGTGTGTGTGTGTG